TCTTTCCCTCTTTAGCTCCGCCTTGCTCCCTCGCTCGCTCTTTCGCTTGCTCGCGGTGCAGCACACAACATACGCGCATGAGGAGAGTGGCGATAGCGACGGCGACGGCGACGGCTACGGCGACGGCAACGGCGACGGCAACGGCGACGGCCACGGTGGCGGCGACTGCGACTGCGGCCGCTCGTGTATCTATAGCTATAACACCGCAGTTGTTTTGCTCTCGCGTGCGCAGCTCGAATGTGTGGAGTTATGGAATATTATATCGGGAGGTTTAGGGATAAAAGACAGCGTAGGAGGGGGAAAGAGAAGTTTGCACGTGCAATTGAACCAGCTTACTCGCAAACGTGAGGGTTTCGTGAATCGCAGTGGATGTCTGAAAAAAGGGGGATGATGTTGCGATCTTTAAAGGGACGTAAATATACTGATTAGCAAACCCTACCGCTCACTTCTAAAATCAATCTTTTTTAAATTTAATACATGATTAATTTCTGCATTTATCTTTATGTAAATATTAAATGAAATAAGCAATATTCAATTAATTATCCATTATATCACCTAATTATTATTTTTGCAGCATTTAGCTCTCTATTATATAGCGTGGTAAAGTAAATCTATTTTTATGTAACACATAATTTTCCTTAAACAGTCAGAATAATAATTCATATTCTATTATATTTAAATATACCATTGTAGTAAAGGGAATATGTAATAAAGCAATTAGATTGAAATATATTCGTGTGATTTAATCGGCAACATTGTATTTAACCAATATAATGGATTACGTGGATTTATTTTAGACAGACTTTCGAATGTTAAATATCCATTTGTTAATAATATGAATTTTGATCTTAAAATTATATAGTAAAATAATGTTACTATATCGTAAAATAATAATGATTTCGAAAACAAACTATTACCTTATATATAAATTTAATTCAAATGTCCAGCCAATAAAATATAGATTGTGTATATATACACAAAAAAAAACGAGAAAAAAAATTGAATATTCTATATATATTATTAAAAAAATTCTTTGTAATATGAAACTTAATATCTATCTCAAAAATTATGAATTATAAAAGCATTAACTAAATGTTATTTTATCCACGTACGTAAACCTAAAAATTAAATAATATGTATCAACATGTGCATACGAAGTAAAAATCGAAAAATCGTAATACTTATATAAGAGTAAGGAAAAAAATTTATTTGTTGCTTCCTGCATGGCTGCGCACAAGTTGTTATGCTAATATAATATTTCATTAACACACGTAACGAACGATTGATTAAATTTCAAATATTTATCGGTCTTCATTCAGTTTTTGAGCCTTTATAAAATAATTTCTCATGTTTCCCGTTTAATAATAATCCTTAATAATCCCGACGATTTATCTATAGTGTAAATAAGTATTATTGTGCATTTTTTAAATCAAAATTTTTAAATACATCTAATCCATTAAATCTCATTTTATCATGTCGATTCGAATATACAAAATATTTTACTTATAATAATTTCGACATTTTTATTTATTTATTGAAAAAGATTATATGTATTATGTAAAAATATTATTTAAACAAATAAGATTATTGATACTAAAAAATTTATATATTTTCATTTAATAAAACTTCGTTTTAATTTTCAAACAAAAATACTTCTCATCTAATTGCATATCCACACTAAAAACTGATTCTTAATCTTAGCATATATTATATGCAAATGAAATGCACCATTTAGTGAAGTATTTTAACATCTTCAAGTTTGTAAAAGTATTTTTAACTAATTCATGTACTAAATTAAATTTTGCTATTTTTTTTAATCATAGAATCTATGGAAAGGGTAAAGCTAGTATATTTTAATTAATCATGAGTATTTTACCATGAAAATTATGGTAATTTATAATGAATTCTTTACAATGTTCAAAATTCTCTTAACTAACCAAAATTATAATAACCATATATTTCTTTGCTAATATTTCTAAAGAAAAGATGAAAATTTTAAATATATAAAGATATATATATATATACATATATATTGATTTATATTCATTTACTAAGTAATTGCCTTTTAAAAATTAATATTTACTTATAAATTTATTAAAGGGAAATATTTTTTTTTTTAAAAAGCCAAAGCTAAAAGAATTACATTTATACCGAAAGATACACAAGTAAGGGCATATCTACGAATTTTAGAACATCTAGAAATAATGATATTTATAATGTAACAAAAATAAAATATTATATTATTTTCATATTTATTCTATTGCATAACGTTCATAAAGTGTACTGAAAAGTGCAATTTCTATACTTTATATAAGAATACAATTTTGTTTATTCGATAACAGCTTTTTTAATTTAAAATGATAATTGTAAATAATATTAATTATACATTTATTATATGGTACACATATGAGCATACGTATAGTTATACTTTATAACATATAGTTTACTTTATTAATAAAATAATGTTCAAAGCACTAGTAAGAATAGTTTGTCTTGCGTTTTTTTCAAATTACTCTTCTAGAATTTTAGATAATAGATTTTCATTATCTAAGCTTACTTATCTCAGCAAATAGTAAACTTAAAATTTTTTTAATTATCATTAGTCATTTTAAATATGAATCGATGACAACACAATTACATAATGTTGACTATACGAGAGGTATATGAGCTGATGTAGCGTATCTTCTGCAAAGTATATCTCAGCATAGGTTACGAATCAGCAAACATTTCTGAAAGATAAACAGCATTAAAAAAAGGGTTTTTAAGAGCCAGAGAATAGAAGTGAGAAAAAGGGAGAGAAAGAGAACGAGAAGTAGAGAAGGAATTGTTGAGTTCGTCAGAAAAATTAAATACCAAGATCCTCTTCCTCAATCACTAAAAGACGTAGCGTAATAATCAGTACATATTATGCTAATAGCAAAAACATTTTGCAATTACCTCGAGTTATGGATATTTTCTGGGCTTATTATGAAGTTATATGTTTATATATATCTACGCTATAGTGCCTTAATTTAACCTACTTATCTAGAGGAGGTAATTTGTCGATTTCAGTATGTATATATATATATATATATATATATATATATATATATATGTGTATGATAAATTTCTGACACAATTTCATCCTACTTATATTCTAGTTTATGAATATAACATAATGATGTTACAATTTTTGCTTCAAAATTTTATGCCATGTGTTCATGAGTTTATTAAAAATATTTTACAAAAATAACAACCTTATAATAATAAATTTATTAATTGTGTATTAATTATGATGAGAATGTGAAGTTATACAAAGAATAAATGAATGTTTATAAATTTCAGGTTACCCATTATGTTTACGTATTTAACATATACGATATTTAAAATTTCTTACATTATACATTCTTTTGTATGAAGTTTAATCTTTTAAATATATATTTAATTAAAAAAAATATAGTACGTTCAAATAATCTAACGATGTATTTATATATTGTTTTTACTTATATCTATTATATATATAGTTTTATATAATCTAATTA